CCCTGAGCCAGCCTTTTTCCCAGGAAGTTCAGTGAGGCAGTGTTAGCTTTGTGTAATCCTCCACCTCCATCTGCCAGCCTGCATTGAACCTTCAGCAGGTGGCCTGTTTCCCCCTTCCCTGGACAGCCCACCTCTGCCCGTCCCAGTACCTGGAGCTGTAACCCAGTAAGAAGTAAACATTTCCTGGGAATACAGAAGAGCCAAGCTTGTTAAGTCAGCAAGCTTAAGTTAGTACAACATTCCAATTTAAAAGCTTGTTAGAAGACTCCACAACTGTCCTTGGAAGCCAACCATAGATACTTTGTGATGGTTATTTTCCTGCTAACAAAGGAGTCTTTCATTTAAACAAAATGAAAACCCCCTTTAAAATAGATATTTAATATATACAAAAGTAGAGAGAACTGAATACTGAGACCTATGTGCTCTCTACCCAGCTTCACTAATTATTAGTATTTTGCCAACTTTATTTCATCTGTTTGGTTCCTCCACCCATTCTCTGTTTTTGTTTCTGCTGAAATGTTTGAAAGCAAATCTCAGGTTTCCATAATTTCACCCATAGCTATTTCAGTGAGTCACTAACAAAATAAAGACACTTAAAAATATAATGATGATGCCCCAGTTATACCTAGCAAAATTCATAATATTACAGAGGTCCTGATTCCACCTGTGTCTCAGCTGTTCAGTTGGTCATGGATAGGTGGTCTTTGTGGCCCTTTTGGTCTCATTACAAAAGATCTCCTAAGGTCTCTTCAGGGCAATCAGCAAAAACTTTTTTACACTGACATAAATTCAAATCCATAAAAGTAAGAGTCTCTGTGTTCTATAACTTTGATATCTTTGGAAAGTGCTGGTCAGCTGTTTGGAAGAATGGTCCTCAGTTTTCGATTATTTAATAATTCCTCCTGGTATAATGAGGTCATGCTTTTCTGGCAGAAAACCACAGAAGTGATGTTTTATTCTCCCCAGTTCATTGTGTCAGGAAACATAGGATGTTGCATTGTTTCAGTTTTGGTGATGTTAAATTTGATCACTTGGGTAAAATAAAATCGCTAGGTTTCTCCGCTATAGTGTTACTGTCTTTCTCTTTGGAGTATCTTGTGAGGAGGTATTGGAGGTACTTTCAGATTATGTAAATATAGTGTTAATTCTCAAACTTCTTTTTCCATGATTTTAGTATTCATTTATGATTCTTGTCTGAACTAATACTTGATGGTGGTCAAAGGGTTATTTTCTAAGTGTATTATTTCTTTTGCATTTACTAATTGGAGTTCTATAAGGAAAGATTTCCTCCCTATTCAGTTTATTTATTTATATCAGTGTGGATTCTTGATTTTTATTTTTTAAAATAGGATTTATTTATTTATTATTACTTTATTATGATACTGGGTATTGAACCCCCAGCCCTTTCTAGTGTTTTTTTCCCCCCTTGGAGACATCTTAGCTAAGTTGCTAAGTTGCCCACGCTGAGCTTAAACTTGCAATCCTCCTGCCTCAGGCTCCCAGAGTGCTGGAATTATAAGTGTGTATTACTACACCCTACTTTATTTTGATGCTCAAATTTTTTAAGATCCAGTCAGTGGGATCCCCTCCAAACTGGCCCTGTTTCCTATTTGACATGTTCCTATTATTTTTATTACCTTTTATTTTCTGGCATGACAAAATGCTGTAAGTTCATCTCAATTTCTCTGCCCCAGCTCTGAGATCTGCAATTTCTCCAAGGAGTTCTGATTCCTGTTAGTGGAGAATGCCATTTCAAAACTAATATCTGAACCGTAGGTGAGCTCATTGTTGCTTTTAGGCCTTGTCAGGAGACAGGGTTGGAAAACAGATGCTACACATGCATCTATCTCTCTAGCCATCATCCCATGATAGGTTTTGTGGTTTTATTATGTAAGATTCTTCTAATCCAACACTGGAGAGTTCTTCTAACACTAGAAGTGATCTTCTTCTTCCCATAATTATAATCTCAGTCTCAGATAGTGAGAAACCAGACTCTTACAATCTATATAGTACATTTATTTATGTGCTCTATCTTGAATGCCTAGGAAATGTTTTCAGAATTGCACTAACCCACACTAATATTGAAGGGAAGCCTACTAAGAACAGTTAAATGTTTGTTCAAAATTCTTTTTATCTTTAGCCTTAGATCAAAGCAGTCTTCATTATGTTCAAATGTTGCTGGATTAACATTATGTTATTCAAAACTTTTCTGTTGAAATATTGTCCTCTTAATTAGTTTGTGTTTGTGTTCCATTTTAGTATTCCTCCTTATTCTTAATAATATTATTATTTTAGGTATATGAGATTCACATAATTCTTAAAATCACAACTGTTCAAAAGTTATGCTCAGAAAAGTGCCATCTTCTTCTTTTATCACAATTTTCCTATGTTTCCCATCTTATTCTCACTGCTGTCCTATAGGTGACCAATCTCAATAGTCCCTTGTTAATCTAGCTGGTACTTAATTTTGCACAAATAAGAAAATAGATGCCTATTTCCTTATTCTCTTTCTTTCTTATACTAATTTAAGATAGAAAAACTACAGATACTATAGATTCCTTTGCACTATCAAATAACATTTTAAAGCATCCAAGACTTGTGGTTAGTTCATTCTTGCATTTTAAAAACCATTTTCTATAAACCCCTGACCCCTTGTGACTAGAGGGCTCTTGGAATTCTAGACTCACTGAGGCAAAACTGTATAAAAATGAGACAGGTGTTGATTTTAAAAAGAGGTCTTTGTCCTCTGCTAGATAAGCATTCTGAACCAAGAATTTTAGAAGCAGCCCCAAGTCCAGCATAGATAGAAACCACCCAAGTCCAAGACTATTGTTTAAGGAGCAGTTAGTCTCTCAGCCAGAAGTCCTTTCCTGTTAATAGAGCTGAACACTCAGAAATAAAATAACTGGGGTCTGAAATAAGCGACTTCTGGGAATTTTGTGTTTTCAGATTTAAAAGAAAAATCAAACAGGCAGTCTTTCTATACAAGGCTTCCATTGTCAGTTGAATATAACTGCTTGCCTTGCATCCAACTTAGTTCTGGGGAGAGAGGTCCCTCTGAGAAGGAAGGCTTTGGGGACCTATGCTTTTCCTGGCAGGTGACAGGAAGCACCTGCTTTGAGTGTCATCTGCAGGCTGCATATCATAGCTGCTGTATTTTCTCAGCTTGCATATGCCCGATTTAGAGGGAAGGGAAGGATGGGAAGAGAAAGTAAGAAGAAATTTCACACCAGTTCATTTATTTTTATTTCTCACAGGAACACATAAGCATTGGGAAGGACCTGAGTCAAATTTATTTCAGTTCACTTAGGAGTTCGCAGGTGTCTTCTGATTACTAGCATAGCCAAGATTCCCTGCATCTATCTAGGATGAACCCACAAACAAAGAACCCAATGGAGGTAATTAACCACCTCCCACCCTGCCATCAGAGCTTTGTCTAAATTCAGAAAACTTGACTAATAATTTTTGGGAAAGACGTACAACTCATCTCTGACAAGAGAGACCACATCCTGCTCTGATAACAGAACAATTGTCTGCCCAAAGTTCAGGCTGTAGAGAACCTGCTGTTCAGACTGTCTGAGGAAGCAAGAAGAGGCTGGGAAGTACCCAGACCTCCTGTAACCCCTGTCAGAGATTCATCCCTGGAGAGCTCAGTAGACCTGGAATGCCCCTTTCCTGTGAATTCCAGGTCCAGCCAGAGGATCAGAGTCCATGAAGGATGCAGCCAATGTATTGTAAGTCTTGAAGGTCTCCCATGAACCTGAGCATTCTGGCCTTCTCTACTTTGGAGGACTCGTTTGAGTTACAACCCCATCATAAATAAGAGTTTTCCACAGGAGCTCAAGCCAGCAGCAGAAATGGATGCTCTGCTCCCATGCCAATGATGACAGCTCTAAGCAACTATTTCCTTTGGGGGAGCCTTGTTTCTCTAACTCTGCTCCAGGGGCTGCAGTATATAGTACTGAAAGCACTGAATTTAGAATTATAGCCTCTTCAGCAAATCTGGTCTCTGCTACTCTATATGATTGGGGACAGTTCACAAAGGTGACAGCCTCAGTGAGCTCATCTGGAAAAAGGGGGACATAATAATAAGATCATCCACCTTCCAAGATTTTGACAAGCATTGAGAAAAAGAACATGACTAATGGATGTTGCAGGAAATAGACTATTCTTTAAAAATATTTGCTATCCAAACAGTGGAGTCAGGGAGGGGGAGAGGTAGGTAGCAGTCTTCACCTACCCAGGAATTCAGCAAACACCTACTTTGTGTCTAGCTCAGAAAATATGTAGGACAAGTTTTTTGCCCACCAGTGTCATTCTACATTTTAAAAAGGAAGAAATGCAATATTTAGGAAGAATAAATTTAGTGTGACCTGGGATATTCCAAGACATCTTTGTGGAGAATATAATGTAAAAACTAGACTTTGAAGGGAGACTAAGATCTGACATGGCTAAGAGAGAAAGGAAAGTCATTGCAGAATTTCCTATCGTCTTTTAGGTGAACCAAGAGAACATAGCCTTGGAAATGTCTTTGCATTGCAGTATTAAATGTTTCTCAGAGGTAGCCTTTCATTACACTTTAAACTTGTATTTGAAGATGTTGGAGGTGAATGGGGAAGATGGCAGAGGGCCATCCTGTGCTCTGCCCAGAGTGAACCTTGATCTGGGGACTGGATTTAGTGGTGAAGAGGGTACAATAGCTCAACTAAGTAGCTTCCCTAAGTAGGGAAACATTTGGCATGGATGCCATGGAAAAGATGTGGTGAGGTTGACAGAAACTCATGAGTAATAAGCACCTAAGGGCTGTGCTGGGTTCCCTATGATGGCCTTCTGCCAATGACCTTATTATTTCACTGGTAAGCAAGGTGAAGGCTTAGACAGTAGCTCAGTTAAGAATCTCATGGTCAGGATTTGAATACATTGTAGATAAAAGAAGGGAACTCAAGGGAGAAAATTACCTTCACGAGGTTTTGTTGGGGGGTATGCTTTGGATTCTACAGGTGTGTCCCTGGAAGCCATTCTGAAGCTCTTTGGAGAATACTTCTTTAAATTCTGTAAGATGTCTGGCTACGACAGGATGCTTCGGACACTGGGAGGGAATCTCACGGAGTTTATTGAAAACCTAGATGCTCTCCACAGTTACCTCACCCTGTCTTATCAGGTAAGGCTGTCAGAGCTGGTTTTGATGGTCTAGAGAGGAAGCAAATAATCAGTGGTTTTGGGTGATCTCCCTCCCCTTAAAGAGGAGCAGTTGCAGAGCAACTTCTTCCCTTCTTTTATGCTCCAGAATCCTTGGTCCCTGGACTCAGTGGCCCAGGAGTAATCTTGGGAAAGAAAAAGAAAAGACATATCTGTTGACCTCCTTTATAAACTGGCTGACAAAAAATATCAAAGAAAGTTTCAGCTTTGTGATGAGAGATGGACTCTTCAATAGGGGCAGTATGGGCTTGAAATGAAATCTAGGAGCCTAATCACCATGGGAACAAAGGCTGGAAAACAGCCAGGTTTCAATAGATTTGCAAAATCTCTCCTAAGGTTTCCTGGCCTGGATGGAGCTGATAAATAGCTTATGCAGACAGATTCACATTATCCAAGTATCAGAAGGAAAGACTTGACAAGGCTGAAAGCCAGAATCGGAAACCATCCAACTCTGATTAACCCACGGGGTGATTGACTGAGGTGTTAAGAAACTAATTTCCCTACTGGGATATGTCTTTCTGGAGTTCATGCCTTAGTTTTCTTCTTTGTAGAGTCATTGGAAATTCAGATAGCAAGACTCTTTTCTTTTATAGATAAGAAAATGCCTTATTGAAAGACAAAATATTTACACATCATAGTAATAGTTTATTATTTTTTGTAAGATAGTTTATATTTACTTTTAGGGCCCTTTATAGCTTCACTATTTCTATTTTCATGTTCATAATCACCTTTTCAGGGTTGTTATGAGGGTAATGTAGGATTATTTATGTTAATGTGCCTCATTATCTATTATGCACTCTTATAATATGGGAAAACCCGTATTTTGCATAAGGAATCTGAGGTTTTTTTGGTACTGGGGATTGAGCTCTCGGACCTTGTGCTCTCGAGGCAGGTGGAGGAATCTGAGTTTTGAAAATCTTAATAGACTTTAAGTAGAATGAGTTCTTGGGCCTTTTCTGTTGTTGTCATGTGAACTTTTTAAGGACATGAGTGAGAAAGAAGATCCCTGGCAGTGGGGTCTGATGAGCTTCCACCACTGTCTGACTGGCTCTGCAACTTACAGGCTGTGTAATCCTGGACAAGCTAGTTGTCCACTCTGAACCTCAGATTTTTTACCCTTACTTATTTAATAAATATTTATCAAATGCCTACTACTTACTAAACACTTTTTAAAGCATTGGGCACAGAGACAAAAAGGAATAATAAGAACAAAATAACTTATCTACTTCATAGTGAAGTGTGGATTAAAGGAGATAACATATAAAAGTCCTTGACACTGTAATAGGCATTTCTACACATACTAACTCTTATTCTTCCTTGTTTCTCTGTTCACTAAGGTGAATTTTAAAATTACAAGAATTTGCATGGCAACCTCTTGTCAAATTTCCTGCTAAAAAGCATAACAATTAGAATATAAAGAAATACATTTAGTTCCATTATATTTTAAAATATCAGCTCCTTCACCTGAAATTTGATAATATATTGATTCATAGTTCTGGATAAAGTATTAATAGTCTTCTATTCATTCATTAAGTAAAAGACATTATAGAATGTCTTTCATGTTTCAGATATCATATTACTATTACCTTCATAAACAAGAGGGGAAGGAATAAAGTTTCTGAAATTCCAAGTTCATTATTTTTATACCTAGTCCTGCTACCCTTTTTCTGATAGTCACCCCCCATATACCAAAACTGTATTGTTAGAGAAGCAATAAAATAGAATCTGTCTGGAGATTTATGAGGACATTTTGCATATAAGAAAATAGATAAAATATTTAAATGTTATAGAAGTTGGGATAAAATCTGTGAAATAATACTTGATAGCTATATCCAGTACTTTATTTATTTGTTTATTGATTGATTGATTTTTTGGCACCAGGGATTGAACTCAGGTCCTTCCACTTACAGGGCAGGCAGCGGAACCACTGAGCTAAACCCCCAGCCCCTGAAGTACTTTATACTAGACAAAATATTATAGATTGTTTCTTTAGGCAAAAATAAAATAAACCATTCACTTTTGCTTTTAATCTTATTTTTCAGCTAACTTTTATTAACTGCTAATTACAAGAAGCAGATGTTATGCTGAGCAATTTATGAATAATGATGTATCCTCTTTGCATCCCTAAGATTAGGGACTCTTATTTTTCCCTCTATACATATGAGAAAATTGAGGTCCAGAAAGGTCAAATAACTGTTGTAAATCATGCACAATGTGGTGGCTGAGGGAAAGCCCAAACCCAGGAATGTCTGTCTCCAAAGACTATGTTTTGGGATGCTTGTTATCATTTTTCCTTTTTTTTCACTCTCCAATGTTTAAAAAAAATCCTCACTTTAATCAAGAAATAAAACTATTATTGTATTATTGAGAGACTGGGAGAGCTAAAAGCAAGAAGTTCTAGGAATGTCTTTGAGAAGAGACTGGCAGGGGATCGGGGCATGAGCGGGGAAGAGCCAGAGTGCATGGATCTTCATTTCTGCCTCTATACTCTGTTATTTTATGTTCACTATGGAGCCTTTGGATAATTTTTCCAAATTAATTTTGACTTCCCTCTTTTTCCATATGTTTCTATATGTGCTTCCTCAAATCCCCTTTATATTTAGTCAAGATATGAACATACATACGTACAAACATGTATATTTTTATCTGTGTACATACTTTTGGATAATAAAATAAATGTTAGTGGAAAAAAAGGAAATTCATTGTAACTAACAATTCTCCACCATGGAAAAGGACATGAAGCTACCTCCTCAAACTTTTCTCTCACTCAAATTGAAAACTGTGTCTACAGGGTGCTGAATTGCCCATGAATCAAGCAGAAGAGAACACTGCTTCTCTCAGAGAATTTCCCAGGCAAAGTTTTTTTCCTCTCCTAACCTACATCTCATCTGTGGAGAGATAGGGCATATTTAAAAGTCAACACTTATTCCTGGAGAAAGAAGATTTCTTCTGATGTGTCCTTGGGGATATTTGTTTCCCAAATGTGTAACTTGGTACCACAGATAGTAGTATGATCTTTCCAGAACAAAGAATTTGTCAATTCATTCCACTTGCAGATTCTTCTGAGCTGGTGATGTTCCTGCAAGTGAAGGTGCCCACAGTCATTTGGTCATAGGCCAAGCACTGGAGAAACTCACTAAGATTTCCTCTTGCTTGCACTCCCCTTGGAGTGTGGGTGGAAGTAGCATGGCATGGTGCAAAGGCTCATTTCGAAGGCCAATGATCGTTCTACTATTAACGTAGCTTTAATTTCCCTGAGCCTGTCTTCTCCTCTCTAAAATGGGGATAATACTTTCCATATGGAGGCATTTGGGAAATTAGTACAGAATAAAACTCTTGACATGTAGAGGCTGAAACCATGGTAAGTGTTATGTGATTGGAGAGAGTTTTGAGCTATAATCCTATTGCTATAGTGGAAAAGTGCTATTGTTTCACAAGGTCTTAAATTTAAACAATTTGCATTCACTGGGAATATCACTGTGTTTTTTAAAATTAGGAGATGAATGCACCATCATTTCGTGTGGAAAAAGGAAAAGATGGGGAAATGCTTCTCCATTACTACTCAGATAGAAGTGGTCTGTGCCACATTGTTCCAGGTATGAAATGCCTTCAGAGTCCCAGAGCTCTGAGGCCTCTGGACTGAGGAGGGCTTCACTACAATTCTCCTGGATGGTGAAGGGCTGGTAGCGGGTAGGGAGCTCTTATGTATAATGTCTAAGTCCTTGCTATCTTCATCATGACTCTCACAGTCTTTGAGCTTGTAAAATGTTTTCAAAATGTCAAAAGAAGGAATAACTTTAAATATTTTTAAGCAATTTTTAATTATGCAAGTGTTTACATAATCATGGTAATTCTACAAATATCATTTTGTATCAGTTTTTTGTATTCAGCATTAGAAAGAGCATGCTTCAATGTTTTCATAGTCTTTAAAATCACCTCTTAAATGGATGAGTGATATTTCATATTTTAAGTATCTTATTTCCCTATTTTTCATTTTTAGTTGATATTAATCTTTTGCTATTGTAAATAATACTGAGACGAACATCTTCACACATTTTTTCTATATTTTATATTTTAATTCTGGGATAAACTTCCAGAGGAACAGTTTTGGAAACATGATCCTTGATGCTTTTACAACTGAATTTTGCCTACATTATTTCCAGTTGGCCTGTTTGACAAGTTAAATGCCTCCCAAAAAAACAATAACAACAGATGCTGATCTGGAAATTAAAATGGCTGGGATAAATCTGGTATCCACACATGTCTAACTTAAATCTCTACATATTTTCACTTCATTAATCTGTTGTATGCTGTCTTGAGTCAGGGTCTGAACTTGGAGAAGCCTGGGAAGTCTATCAGAAGTGTTAAATTGATTTTTAAATGATTTTTCTGACACACTGCCTTCTGCTATCCCTTACCAATAAGTGTAATTCTGCTGCAGGTATCATTGAAGCTGTGGCTAAGGACTTCTTTGACATTGATGTAACCATGGATATCCTTGACATGAATGAAGAAGTGGAGAGGACAGGGAAAAAAGAGCATGCTGTGTTTCTGGTTGTACAGAAGACTCACAGCTGGATGAGAAGTACAAATCCAATCAGGTTACCAGATAGCGAGGTCATCCAGAAAGACCACAAGGTACTATGTTTGCTATGTCTTTAGAAAGCACAGTTCCCCAGGGCAGAGCTACAAGCCTTGGAACAATCTATGCAAACAACACAATAATCTGGACCTCCTACTAGTAGAATAAAGGCAGGGTTTCTTAATCTTGGAATTACTGACCTTTTGGATAAGATAATTTTTTGTTGTGTTGGGCTGTCTTTTGCATTGCAAGATGTTTAGCAGCATCTTAGGTCTCTAGATTCTAGTAGAACCCTGCCTCCTCAGTTGTGGCAACCAAAAATATATGCTGGAATTACCAATGTCCCAAGTAGGGGACAAAATCATACCTTGTTGAAAACTACTGAGTCATTGTTCACTGATCATACTCTGGAGACTTTCTGAGATATACCTTAGGCTGGAGAAATATTCACTTATAAAATTACCAGTATGAAGTGTTTAAAACTTGGACCTGATGCCTTGTTTCACTTGGACCTGATGTCCCCTGGAATAAATTGGCCTGTTAGATCCCCAGTGCCCACATTGCAGCTGGAGCCAGTCACAGATCCAGAGACCAAGATCCTATGCTTGGCTACCTCAATGGCAAAGTCACAGGGTGACTGCAGGCTTTAGCCCCAATTTAGATTCCACACATGTCAGGGGAACAGCTCTCTGTCCCATGTAGCCTATATAATACCCAGCTATGCCTGTGATACCTGGAGCACAGGGTATGTGTGACCTGGAGCATGCAGAACACATCTCAGGGTCTAGTCATTGCTGCTTCTTCATCCACAGAAAAAGAAGATGTTCATGTGTAATTTTCCAGCCACATATCACCCTAACCAGGGGTAGGAAACCTATGGCATGCATGCTGCAGCAGGCTGTTATCATTAAAAGCTTTAAAAGTTTGGCCATCACTGCCCTAGACCATTCTTGAGATTTTATAAAATGTTCTTGCTTCTTTGGTAGAGAGAAAACATGAGTATTAATTAGATAAAAAGCCTTGGGAGCTCCAGACTCTTGGTCTGTCTGGTCATGACACCATTCCACATGGAAAGACAGCCCAATAGCAGCAGATGGGCTTGGTGCATCTGCAGTCACATGACCAGGTACCCTTGCTTCTCTCCTTGCCATTTGCAGACCCTCGAGGCAGCTTTCATTAGGATGAAGGAGAAGTATTTGAAGGTCTCTATTTGTCCTGGGAAGAAATCTCACTGGGATGCTGTAAGGAGTATAGTCATGGTTGGAAAAGGTAGGTGGATTATTGTCCCAGTCTCTTAGTTCAGAAAGACTGCCTGGTTCTCCGGGAAAGTAGCCTCAGGATGCAAAGCTGGCAAAGCTCACTGTGATTCTGATGCCCCTGCTTTCTTCAGAGCCTGGTTTTTAACTTTAAAATATTATGTTCCAACTCTTATTCTGTGGGCCCTTCTGTTTGTACAAGAAACATGGAGATACTCTCTCCTGTAATCAGAAAATGTCACCAGAGAAAGGATTGGAATCAGTTCCAACTGGGGACTGAGGAAGACAAGGAGGATGGATACTGATGTATTAATTACCAAGGATTAGGAATTTCCCATAGCTCATCTTCTGGATCCAGGCCTTCTCAATCGGGAAGCATTTCTGGACTAGAAAGCTGTGGATAATAACCATGGTTGCCCAGTAGTGCAAAAAACAGTGGATCAAAAGCCAAGAAATTTGATTTTTGGCTCTGTCCCTGAGAAGCTGTGTGACCTTGGACAAGGTCCTTTATCTTTCCATTTGCAAAGTGAAGGCAAGAAGCTGTCTATGGTACTCCTATGCACATTGAGCTGGCCTAACAACTAGCACCTAACACCTGAGTGGGAATAAGGGGTCTGATTCACTAGGAGAAGGGAGCTAGATGCTCCTTGTCATGGCTGATGGGTCAGATGACATGCATCTGGGAGAAGGTCTGCAGAGCTCAAAGAGCTGCATTTTGAGTCCTTCAAGCTGTGGCAAAGAGTCAAACATGCAATTGACATCCTTTGTCTAGGAGATTTTCATATCAAAAAGGCTCCATTTCAAATCTCTACCCCCTGCCAAATAAGACTGTTGGTTAAATTTTCATGTGCCACCCAAAACTGTCAGTCTAAAAATCTCCATGGCAAATGTTCCTGATGCTGGGCCCAGCGCACACGCTCTGCTCTACTAGCTCATTGTCTGGCTGTCATCATTTCAATACAGACTCTGTTTTCATGGGGAGACGTACTCAATTGGCCCAGAAACTCTTCAGCGGCGGGCAGAAACTTGGCAGGGGGCAGGAGGGCTTCTCAACCTGGTAGCAAGTTTTCTGTTTGTTTTAATTTGGAAGAAGAATTGCCATGGCCATCTGGAGATGCTGAGGGAGCCTGGGATAAAGAGTGGGGGATAACACTTCGCCTGTGAAACACTTAAGATTCTATCCCTATCCCAGGCTTGGCTCTGTAAGAGGGCCACAGCAGGAGCTGCCTCTCATTAGGGCTTTCTCTTTCTGTGTCCAGGGCACCTCAGCAATGCCTTCAAGCCCGTTTATCCCGAGAGACTCTGGATGGAAGTGAAGACATTCTGTTCTGCTTTCCCTTTCCACATTGTCTTTGACGAAGCAGTAAGAGGCCCTTTCCTTCTGGAGCTTGGAGTTGGAGATAAACCAGGAAAGGGGCATGCTTTATAGTCCTTTACATCCCAGAGAAGTTTCCCGGCCTTAGGGAACTAGATTTTAGCCCAACAGGACCACTGACTTCATTTCATATTGTAAAATCTTCTGGAAACCAGAATGGAGAATCTTTTTGGTAGAGAGGGAAGGAGGTTTGCATTAGTGAATGAATGGGAAAGTTTACCACTAGAAAAAGGGAAAAGGAAATGAAGTTGAGATTTACTACATATAGAGACAGCAGAATATGGTCATAGTAGTGGTTGGATGGAATGTTAAGCACGACCTCTCACCATCCTTGTGATCACCAGGAGTAATGTCTGGATCCCACCATGCTTCATATCCTGTATCTTATGAGGGAGAGGTCCAAGTTGATCTCCTGCCATGTTTTGTGTGGGCTGTGAGAGGACTAAGTTTGAAGGTTATTGATTTCCTTGGATAAATATATGTCGACTGGATTGTTTGGGTTTTTTTTGGGGGGGTACCAGGGATCGAACTTGGGTCCTTGCGCTTGCACAGCAGGCGGTGAAACCACTGAGCTAAATCCCCGGCCCTTATGTAAATGCTTGTTTGTGTTTTTTTTTTTTTTTTTGACTGGATTGTTTATGCATTCATTTAATGAACAAGTAGTCAAACTAATGTGTTCAAAAAAAGTTAAAGCACTGTTAGCCATTGTATTTTTCTGTGATATTTATTTGGACCCATAAACATATTAAATCATCACCTACCAGATGACTGCTGATGCAGATTCTATGAGTCTCCACCCAAAAAGAAATTATGATCTCACTGAGGTAAATGAACACCCCTATATGGTGCAACTGGTACTTACCATATAAGGCAACCTCAACTTTTTCCCATTGCCACAAAGATATTATTATTATTTTTTCACTGTTAATATTTTAAGTTATGATTTACTTTAAAACTTTCTTTCAAGTTTTGGGCATAGATTAACAGAAAATTTAATGATACTTACACATATGCCAAGAGATAAAATCAATTTCTATAGCCTAACAATCCAGTGGTTAGCACAGTTTAGTGTTCCTGGATGTTATGCTGACACTTGATATTATATGCAAGGATCCCCATTTTCTTCTTCCTTCTGTTTTTTATGTGGAGACAGCAGTGAAGGATCCCCTCACCCCTTTGAAAGACTACTGTTACCTAGGCCTGGATACCAGATTCAATGCCACAGAATTTGCTAGTTTATTTATTAGCTAGATAGACAAAGACAGAAAGAGAGAGAGGGAGGGAGGGAGGGAGGGAGGGAGAGAGAGAGAGAAGGGCAGAGAGGCAGAGACAGAGAAACAGATACACAGAAAGGTGTTAGAGAGCTAAGAAAGAACCATTGGCTCAATTGAGAGTTTTAACTTATCTTTCTTCACTAGTCAGAAATATGCTCCTAAGTATGCTTATACTATTGTTTTCCCCTTTCGACATTAGCTGCAGATATAATTGTTTGAAACAGTTATTACTTACATGATGTTTATTTCATTACTGACTCCCTTTCTCCCCAGTGAGTCACAAAGCATAGCCAAAATATTATTTCTGAGAAAAAGTTTATGGTGGAAGTGGCTTTCTGTTCCCCAGTCTGACATCTGTCCTCTGTGGATAGCTAAGGGTCAAGCAAGCTGGAGTGAATATTCAGAAGTATATCCCAGGACTCCAGACCCAGAAGACTCAATTAGATGACTATTTCTCCATCGTTCACCCTCAAGTTACTTTTAGCATTTCCAGCATCTGCAAATTTATCAACAGTCAATTTGTTCTGAAGACACAAAAAGAAATGATGCTCAAAGTATGGAAAAATCAGCCCACACTCAAACTCCGAGGTAATAACTCATTCCTTCCCTTTGGTCTTGGCCTGTTTGGGAGACTGATCAGAAGAGAGAGAGGCACAGTTTTCCAACACTGGGGCAGGAACTGCAGTGAGGGCAGGATGTTTTTCTGACATTTCCACTTGGCCTGATCTGTAAGCAATACATTTTATTCTTAAATCACTTCTGATTTAGACATAAATGGACTATACACATACATTATGTATGTTCCCAGCTTGCATAGCCATTGCCACCATTCCATCTCTAGAAATTTTTTCCATCTTTTATAAAATGCAAACTCTATACCTATTGAACAATAATGTCTCGTTCCTCTTTTCTCCATTTTCTGGCAACTGTCATTCTATTTTTTATCTCTATGATTTCAGCTATTCTAGATACTTCATATACATGGAATCCTACAGTATCTTTCCTTTGTAACTGACTCATTTCACTTAATGTAATGTCCTAGGGGTTCATTTATGTTGTACCATTTATCAGAATGTCCTTCCCTTTTAAGGCTGCATGATATTCCATCGTATGTATATGTATTTTCTTTATTCATTCATTTCTTGATGGATGCTTGGGCTAATTCTACCATTTGGCTAATGTGAACAACATTACTGTGTGTGCAAGTGTTTCTTAGAGTCTTTGCTCTTAGTTATTTTCAGTATATCCAAAAGTGGAATTGCTGAGCCATATGGTGATTCTATTTTAAATTTATTGAGGAATTATCATACTGTTTTTCATAGCTACTGAACCATTTTCAACTCCAATCAATAATGCACAAGGGTTTCAATGTCTCCACATCCTTATAATCACTTTCTATTTTCTGTTTTTTTATTAATACCCATCATAATGGGCATGACATGGTTTGGACTTTCATTGCCCTAATGATTAGTGACTTTGAGCATCATTTCATCAGCTCGGCCATTTCTACAGAGTTTTTGGAGAAATGTCTATTTGAGTCTTTTGTCTATCTTCTACCTGTCTTGAATTTTTTTTGGTGTGTGTGTGTGTGTGTGTGTGTGTGTGTGGTCGAGTTGTAGTTTTTCATATACTCTGGATATTAACCTCTTATCAGATATATGATTTTCAAATATTCTCTCCCATTCCATGGGTTGCCTTTTCACTGTCTGTGGTAACCTTTGATGAACAGAAGTTTCCCATTTTGAAGTAGCCTGGTTTATCTGATTTCCCTCTTTCTACCTGTGCTTTTGGGATCATGGCCAAGAAATTATTGCCACATCCAACATCATTTTCTTATATTTTCTTAGGGTTTCTCAATAGTCTTATAAATTTAGCTCTTACATTTAAGTATTTGATTCATTTTGAGCCAATTGTTGTATATGAGTGAAGGGGTTCACATTTTGAGCTGTCTTTTTATTAGACTGATGATTAAGTATGCTAGACATACATATAGGCAGAGCTGGGGAGACAAACAGGAGGAAAACCTCTTCTGGAAGTCTAGGTTAATTGTAGAGTGGGGTGATGGGAGATGATGCTGGGAAGATGAGGGCTTGAAGATGCAGTTGGAAACATTTTTAAAGGTCTTCCTTGATCAGATTTGAAGTCTAGAATGACCACTTTGGAGGTGTGTGAAAGATAAAGATTGTAGAGAAAATGGAGCTTGGGAGGCCAGGTGGAGGCCGTCACTGGGATGTAGGTGAGAAGATTAAGATGAGGAATGAACTCAGGTAGTGGCAAAGGAGGAACAAAGTCATAGTTAAGCCAGAGAATAGCAATTTGATGTGGGAGTTAAAAGAGAATAGTTCAGATAACTATGAGTATCCTTCCTTGGTTCACTGGGAGATGAATATGTGATTAACTGAGAAATACACAACTTAAAGCTCTTGAAATATGACTTATGGTTTTGTCAGTTTGAGTCACTGCTGTATCTCTCAATGCCTAAAATAGCATGGCTGACTTACAGTAGAGAGTAAATGCTTATGTGATGAAATAATGAGGAAAGAGAAGTGATGAAAGGTGAGCTAAATTGCAGGCATCCATAAGTAAATACATAGGAAATAAAGATTAAAAGGCCAAGCAAACAAATAAAAAGCAACTCTGTTGATAGAAGTATAAATTCTTACAATCATTCTACAGAGCAATTTGGCAATATGTATCAAAAACTAAAAATGAGCATTTTTTTGCCCAGGTAATTCCATGTCTAAGAGTATATATTCTTAGACATGTAACAATATAGCCTAGGTTATACTCAAAGAGTTACCTCAAGCTTGTTCATTACAATGTAATTTCTAGAATGATAACTAGATATGATGTAATCAATGCCAACTTTGTACTTAAATAAAATACAGTATAGTAAATATAGCCAGCAGAAATTATGACTCATGCCTATGTTGAATACTATGGAAGGATGTTCTATAATTTTATGTGAAAATTTAGATTATGAAAAGATGCAGGTAGTCCCATTTTTTTGTAATATAAATATTTATTGCAAAATATTAATTGTCTGTGATGTGATTATGGGTGATTTTCATTATTCTCTTTCACTTTTATCTTTTCTGCAATGAATGTATATTGCTTTTATAATAGATTAATAAATATATCAATTTTAAAGAAAAGAAATAAGTTAATAAACCTATCTATATTTAAAGAAAGAATTTTTTTTTTTTGCAGTACTGGGGATAAAACTCAGGACCTTGTGCTTGCGAGGCAGGTGCAGCACCACTGAGCTAAATCCCCAGCCCTTAAAGAAAGAAATTTTTAAAGAAAACATCTCTAACCCAGGAAGCAAGGCTTTTCTGGAAATTCAGGTTCATTGTCAGCATAGTATAGGGCACGGTTACATAATGCTAAAGAGAATACCAAGACAAAGCCAGAATTCTGAAATTTAAGCAATGAGATTTTAAAAGAAATTATAAAGAAAAAATTTAAAGAAATAGGGAGATTTTCAGAGAGAAAAGAGTTTCAGAAAGCCTTGGGAAGCAAGATTTCAAAGAGGGTCAGGTTAATCTCATCAACAGCAGAAAGGCTGGGCAAATGTAAGACTTGAATCGGAGTCAGCACTTTGGAAGGCCTGAGTGGGATCCTCCCAAAGCCAGGAAGCAGCCACAGAGAGATGTGCTGTGCAGAGAGGGGGATGTGAGTAAGTGGAGGCAGAACATATAGATAATTCCCACCACCCTTGGCTGAAAGGGAGAGAGTGGAACTGTGCCAGGCCTAGAAGGTGTGCTGTGTGGGTGATGCTTGCTTCTCTTGCAAGCTCATCTCACCCCATCTTGGTGATAGACTACATTGTCTCTTTTCTCTTCATGATGGGAAGGCCAGATGATCTGGATGGAGTCCCTGCGGTGCATGATTTTCATGTGCTCACCAAAGCTCCGAAGCCTGCAAGAGCTGGAGGAATGCAAGATGCATCTCTCAGACATTGCCCCCCACGACATCACCAGGGATCTCATCCTCCTCAACCAGCAGAGGCTGGCAGAAATGGAGCTGTCCAACCAGCTAGAGAGGAAGAAGGAGGAGCTTCGAGTCCTCTCCAAGCACTTGGCTATTGAAAAGAAGAAGACAGAGACCTTGCTGTATGCCATGCTGCCTGAACATGTGGCCAATCAGCTGAAGGAGGGCAAAAAGGTGGCGGCAGGTAAGGCATTCCTTCCCTGCATAGGCACCTCTGAGCAGGGCACAGTGTGCCTTTATGGTTAGCTGTATGGGCTTTGAACCAGGCAGATCTGTGGTTGAATTCTGGTTGCATCACTTGTAAGGGTCACCATCTTGGATTAATTGCTTAAGCAGCATCTTCTCAGTTTCTCCTTTCTACATTGAGAATAATATACATAATGCAGTGAAATGTGGATTATATAAAAATGCTTTTCAATGGTACACACACACACACACACACACACACACACACACACGGCTATTTAAGAATTTAGGCTGTGTCCTGAGACTGCTGTCATTGCTCAGGAGCCAAGAGTAGGATCTTTAACTACAACTGGAAATAACACATCCACAATGAACTATGAAGTTACGGGGTGTCGGGTGTCTCGGTGGACCATTCTGGTCCTGTTTACTCTGAATTCACTTTCCATTTATCCCAAGGGTGTGTACATTCTCAGACATGCCTGGTGAACTTAGTGCCAGGTGCTGTGCCAGATCCAGGGCACCCAAAGGAGCTTACAGCCTGTGGGCTTGACAAACATATCCAGAATAAATTAATGGGTGTGAGAGTGGCCAAACATAAGGAAAGTAATGTGCATTAAGAAGCAATCACTGTGCCAGGAATTATGTCAGATATCTTATATATGCTGTTTTATTTAATTTTCCGAACATTTCTATAAGGGAAGAGTTGTCCATTCTGTACAGCTGAGCATGTTGACATTTCATCCCAATTTATGAGCTGGAAACTAGTTGTCAATATAACTCCAAAATCCATTCTCTTTCCACACACACTGTTTCCATGGGATGTGGATACGCAGATGACAGAGTAATTAATAATAAGTAAGTGTCAGAAGAAAAAGAGACAAGAAGAGAGGTGAAATTGTGAAGGCCATTCACAAAAGTGTTTGGCACTTGAGATGGGCCTTGAGGTGAAATTTCAGTGAGTGGAGCCAGAAAAGACACTTCGGGAGAATGGAATGGAGAGAGAAAAGGTAAGGCTATTTGAAAATAAAATTTTCAGGCAATGGCAGTCCCTGGCATACACGAATACAAGGAAAAGTTGTGTCTGATGAGGCTGGGGAAGTGGGATGAGGCATAAAGAGATACAATGATGAATCTGAATTATTATGGAAAAAGACATTGTTTTTGGCTGCAATGTTGTGAATGCAATACAGTGAGGCAGGCTAAGAACCCATCAGAGTGCAGGGGAGTGAAGTTCAAGGCCTGAAGGAAGTCAGCACAAGGAGGAGCTGGCAGGCTTTCATTCCCCTGATGGGGAAGGCCAGAGTCCACTGTCAGTGTGGAATCTGAGATTTCCAGCATAGGAACATGTGATGCTTTCCAAAGACAGAGTAGGAAGCAAAGCAGACCTGAACGGAAGCTGATAAGGTCAACTTAAAGCTGTTGAGTTTGAGATGTCGATGGGATACTCCACATAGCAAGACCAGCAAGTAGTTAGAAATTGTAGGGAAAGTTCTAGCTTGGAGATATGGGTCTGGGAGTTACTGCACTGTAGGGGATGGTTAATCATAAACCATCCTATGATGATGGATAAGGTGAGAAGAAGGTGGGGTATTGAACATCAGGAATACCGAAGATTTAAGAAGGATGAAAAGCCAGTAAAAGATTTAAATAAGATCAAAAGATTGAGAAGAATATGAAGAGAGAATTGGTAGACCAGAAGCCAAAGAAAAGAAAATGTTATATGAAAGGGAGATTACTACCAGAGGTACAAATAATTTAGAAGGCACTCAGGTGTGTTCAAGGAGTCATTAATTCACTCAGTCTATAATATTAATTGAGTATCTACCTACCCCAAGCTGTAGGAGCAATAGTGGTGAACCTATGGCATGCATGCCACAGTGGATTGTTTATATCATTAAAAGGTCTAAAAGGCCCGGCATCGCTGGGCTAGGGATACAACAGAGATCAAAACTGTCTCTCATCTCATGAACTTTAGAATCCCAATGGAGAAGGTAGAAAATAGCAAAGTAAACAATTCATTAAAAAAGTATGCCACCTAAGTCTTATGGAATAGAGAACAAGTGATCAGATTAAGAAGATAGAGAGTCTAGGGCAGTGGTGGAAAACCTATGGCATGTGTGCCATAGCAGTCTGTTTGTTATCATTAGAAGCTCTAAAAGATTCACCATCACTGGTCTAGGGGCTGTTATTTAAGATGGCGTGGTCAAGAAAGTTCTCAGTGAGTGGGTTACATTTCAGATATGAATACTAAGTATATTTGAGAAGAGTGTGTCAAACAGAGATATGACACATGAAAAGCCCTGAAGGTAGGAGACACTTAACATGCTAGAGAAACTCCCAGGAGGCCAGTGTGACTAGAGTGGAGTAAGCCAGAGAACAGCCATGAGACTTGAGGTCAGAGAGGTGACAAAGACAGAGCAGAAGTCTTCTGTGTAGGGCATGGTAAGGATTTGGGGCTATATTCTAAATGTGATGAAAGTCATAGAACATTTGAGGTAGAAGATTTGAGGTAGAAGAAATATCCTATGATCAGACTTAACCGGACATCTAGCTGCCATGTGGAACTTAGTATGAGTGGGGACCAGTATGGAAGCAGGTACATGAGTTAGGAAGACATGACAGTTGTCCTACCACACGAAGACAAGGAAACTCACGACTTCATGATAACAAGTCTCTTCTAGCCACAACCCTGGATCTTCTGTAGTTCAGGCTGTGCTTGGGTCCACTTTTTAGGTGCCATATCTGTCATCCCATGGCACTTTTCACATCTTACTAGCAATATTTGTTCACACTTATGCCCCCTTCAGTAGACTGGGAACTCCTTAAGGGCCCTGTCTGCTTGTTTCACCTGCTAAGATCCTCCTCCCATGATGACTAGCTCATAACAGGAACTCAATAGATATGTTCACCGGAGATGACAGGTGAATGGCATTCAGCTCCTTTTCCCCCAAGGCATAGGCAGGTTGGATTCCCATAAAATATTTGAATCCAGAATTTATAGAATTATTATCTTTATCTTTGGCTATCACTGATACCTAGTTTCTATTGCAGGAGAATTTGAAATCTGCACTATCCTTTTCAGTGATGTGGTGACATTTACTAACATCTGTGCTGCCTGTGAACCTATCCAAATAGTGAATATGCTGAATTCAATGTACTCTAAGTTTGACAGATTGACTAATGTCCATGAGGTTTACAAAGTAAGTGTCTGCATAGTGTGATGTGTTCCAGGACTCAGGCAGGACTTGATCCTGAGTCTTCTTTAGACTCTTTGCACCAGTCTGGGGTTTGGTGTTGATGGGAGTAGGGTGAAGAAAAGAGCTAAAAGGGAATTGGAAGTGTCTAGGACAAGTAAGATTTGATCCTCAGCATCATAACTAACTAACTAGCTAACTAATTAGCTAACTAAATGGAGAAAGGCCTCTTGGCTCTCTCATTGTTTCTGGAGTCATGTTCCTTCCTACTTCCCTCATACCTCTAGAAAAGTATCCCCAGCTTCTTTAAAATGGCCCTTTTGTCACTATTTGAAAAATGGCAAACATATTTAGTAATGGGTTTAATGCACAAGGAAAGCTCTCTGAAGACCATTTTTTTCCTGGCAGGTGGAAACAATAGGCGATGCCTATATGGTGGTAGGTGGTGTTCCAGTGCCTATTGGAAGCCATGCTCAAAGAGTGGCTAATTTTGCTTTGGGAATGAGAATTTCTACAAAAGAAGTGATGAATCCTATTACTGGAGAACCCATCCAGGTAAAGAGCAAATGAGAACTTTACTTAATACCAAACATCTCACATGGGAAAAGCAGAGTTCAGGTCTGCTTAGGTGGTTACTGCATATGTTAGTGTAATTAAAATTGGTGATTTCTGAAAACTCTTTTCTTCCCTTGCCTGTGTTCCTAAGAAATAGAGATGTTACAGTTCCTAAGAAAGATGTTACAGTCTCAGCTTCTCTTAAATTTCAGAAGAGGCCGCGGTGGCTGAAGTTATCTCATGATTCACTGCAATCTTCCTTTGTCCACAATTTAGGATAGTCCTGAGCATCTGTCCCTGTTTACATTGTAGGGTGCAATCCATCCTAAAACCCAGCTCATTTGTAATTTCTGCTTTTTTGTTTAAAAATTTCAACAGGTGGCTCGGGTTTACTGAATAGCCAAATATTCTCATTTGGAAAATCCATCATGCTGTCTGACAGCTCAGAGCTCAGACTGAGGAGTCAAGCTGCCTCCAGCACATAGCTCAGGCACCATGGTGCTGTTAGGTATTCAGAACAGCTCTCTTTCTTCCACGTGGCTAGCAGGGAGACATCTGCTCACCTTCCTCCTAGGAAGCTATTCTTCCAAGCAGGAAAGTTTAGTCACATGATAAAAGTTGGAGAATCTGAAGATGAAAAGTAAATATCCTCTTTTGCTGGCTCAGCAGATCCTGACCCCCACCCCCACCCCCATGACTAGGAATAGTGTCTCTCTGCCTTTTCACATCCTGTTTCATCCCTAGTTCCTGTCAGTCAAAAGTTCAAAATAAACTTAAAAGCCAACTAAAAATAAATAAAACCAATTGTAAAATGGAATATGATTTTACCAAGTTATAACCCTTTGCAGAATGTCCTGGAAATGTATTAGCTCTCACCACAGCAATTTGGAAGTTGAGAGATAGTGCAGATACTGGCTATAGTGTCCATACTAACCTTAAAGTAAAAGCTAGCTTTAGGGCACCACAAGAGCAAAGCATCCACATTACTCAACTTGTTGGAAGCATACAGTATTTATGTGTTGAATGAAAACCTCAATGTATCAATAAAAGTTTGGGGTGGGAAGTAATGAGAGGGTAGAGATAAGAAGATCAGATAAGAGATGAATGTTTCAGTTAAAGGGCCTAGGGCCTGGAATTTAGCTCAGGGGCTGGGAATTTAGCTCAGTGGTTCCACCACCTGCCTCAAAAGAGCTAGGTCCCAAGTTGGATCCCAGCCCCCCCCCCCCAAAATCAATTAAAGGGCCTAATGTCAGTCACCAAGAATCCAGAATAACCCAAACAGTCTAGAACAATAACAAAATTGGAAAATGTATGCTATATAATTCCAAAACTTATTCTAAAGTTATAATAGTAAGTGTAGAAGAAAATTGGCAGAAGGATGAGCAAATAGATTGTTGACATAGTAGAGAGTATCTAGAAATAGACTACATATTGAAAGTCAATTGATTTATGACTGAAGTACCAAATCAATTCAGTGGAGAAAGCAAATTTTTTTTAGGAAATGCTTCTGCTATAACAATATCATAAGGAGTGGAAAAATTTTACCTCATTTCATATATGAAAAATAATTTGAATATGTATCATGGTTCTAATTGTAAAAGCTAGATTAATAAAACTTTTTGATGGAAACAGAGGAGATAGTTTTATGGCTTTGGGGCAGACAGTGATTTCTTAGCACACAGGGCACCAACTGTACAACAAAAAAACTTGTTATACTTTATTGTTGTGAGCTGAATTGTGTCCTACAAAATCGATATGTTGGAGCCTAAGCCCTCAGTACTCAGAATATGACTGTTTGGAAAGAGGGCCTTTAAAAGGGTGATTAAATAAAAATGAGACCTCACGGCTATGTTCTACTCCAATCTGACTGATGTCCTTATAAGAGTGGGAAATTACCACATGGTAAGAGACACTAGGGTGAGCCACACAACAAAAGGCCATGTGTGGACACAGAGAGAAGGCTCAGGAGAAACTAAATCTGCTCACACCTGGATGTTAAACTTCCAGCCTCCAGAACTGTAAGAAAATACATTTCTGTCATTTAAGCCACCCAGTCAGTGGTATTTGTCATGGCAGTCTGAGGAAACCAATATGTTGAACATATTTCCTACCAATTAAAGTTACTGAATATACAAGCCCATAGACTAAGAAAAATGTCTCACATATCCAAATAGGGTCATTGGGCTGGGAGTGTGGTGCAGTGGTGGCTTGCTTGTCTGGCTTATGTAAAACCCTGGGTTTAATCTCTAGCACCACACACACAAACACACACACACACACACACACACACAACACAGCAGAGATGTTAACAATAAAAAATAAACAACCCAATTTCTTAAATGAGCAACGAGCTTGAGAAGACTTCCCAAAAGAGGATATATGAATGGACAATATGTGAATAAAATTATGCTTAACATCATTAGCCACCAGGGACATGTAAATGAAAACCTCTAGAAGAGCAAATGATGGTGACAATGTGGACTGATTGGAAATGTCATATTGCTGATGGGAATGGAAAATGGAGAATTGGAAAAGGAACTTTGGAGAATTGCTGGGCAGTAGTATTTTGTTTTAGCAAAATTAAATGTGTATTTATCTTGTGACCCAGAAGTGGAATTTTTGGTTTTAGGTATTTACTTAAGATGAATGAAAACCTGTAGCCACAAAAATACCTGTATAGAAATGTCCATAGCAGCCTTAATTAAAATAGCACTGATCTGGAAATAATCTAAATGGTCATGGAGAGGAGAATGGATAATGAATCATTGTATAATCTCACTATTCGGCCATAAAAATAATGAACTACTGAGGCATACAGCAATATTAATGACTCTCAAAAACCTTATATTGAGTCAATAAAGCCAGATATAATATTATATGCTATATGATTTCATGTATGTGCAGTTCTACAACAGTCAAAATAATCTTTAGTATAGGAAGTAGGAAAGTGGTTCTTTCTGTTGGGACAGGATAGGGAGAGAGTGTAACTGGAAAGAGCCACAAAATAATTTTGGAAGGTAGTGCGACTATTTTACATTTCATTTTGGTTGGTGGTAATAAAGCTATACACAATTGTCCAAACTCATAGAGCTAGTATCTGTGGTTTTTATTTTATAAAAATTATGCCTTAATTTACAAGTAAAAGCAAAAGGATTAGATGGTCTCTCTTCAGTGAGTTTCTCTCTGTACAGATTAGAGTTGGGATCCATACTGGCCCCGTCGTAGCAGGTGTTGTGGGAGACAAGATGCCCCGGTACTGCTTGTTTGGTGACACTGTGAATACAGCCTCCAGGATGGAAAGTCATGGAGTTCCCAACAAAGTACATCTCAGTCCCACAGCCTACAGGTAGTCATTTGTTTATTTATGCCTTCCTTCGCCTTCTCCTCTTCCAGAATTTACAGAATAACTAGCAGCCATTGGATGGGATGAGTGGAGAAAACTCAGGAATTTTCGTCCCATGCTTTTCTAGGTTACAGAAGACAGCACATATTGTTGAGCCCCTACTGTCACATAGTTTTTACTCTTAGGGAGCATATGGTTTAGTGCAGAGAACAGAAAATTATAATTCATAGATCAAATCCAATCTGTAACTTCTTTTTGTAAATAAAGTTGGAACACAGCTGTATACCTTTATTTATATATTGTCTATGACTGATGTCACAGTACAATAGAAGAGTTGAATAATTGTGAAAGACTGTACATGCCTGCAAAGCCTGAAAATATTTATTATCTGGTGTTCCCTAGAAAACATTTACTGGCCCCTGATCTAGTGGAGGAAAGAAGAAAATTCACATTTAATTATTTTTGAAGTGGGAGAAGTGTAAAGATAAAGATATAAAACAATACTTACAATTTCTTGAGCACTTCTAATAAGCCATATTTGGTTCTACATTCATTTACACATGTTCATTGATTTACTGTTGCAATAATTCCACGAAAATGTACTACTGTTTACAGATTTACAGATAAGGAAAAATAAGGTGAATAACTTGCATCAGGTCCAGGTAGATCAGGAAGGAAAAAACTATAGATGCAACTCAGGGATCCGTGCTCAGACTCTCCTCTCTTTACTTTCCTGTATGTAGGAATTGGAGTGTGTATCATGGGAGCTCAGGGATAGGAGCCTGATCCTGGAAAGAGGATTTTACAGTGGAGAAAATGTCCCAGCTGTTCTGAACAAGGAGTTCCATAGTAGAATTTAGACAAAACATGGGTACTGAGAGTGAAACTCAAGTAGTACAGTAGAAATGAGGGGCTGCACAGATGGGAACCTTGGAGAGAGGAACAGGGTTTGGCCAAGTCCCCTGGGCCTCCCTCTGCCATCGGCACAGTGTTCAGAACATCTGACTTTCATTCCTTCTTGCTCTCCCTCACTCCCTTTGCCCCTGTCTGTAGGTCCCTGGTGATGTCTTGTATCCTTCCCACTGTTGTGTATCTTGGTTTCTGACTTTTCCTTATGTATCTCTGCTCATTGTAGCCCACTCTGTGATCTTTGATATTTGGTGCATCATTTTCTCTGTGCAGAGCCCTAGAAAATCAAGGGTTCGAAATCATTGAGAGAGGTGAAATTGAAGTGAAAGGAAAAGGGAAAATGACCACATACTTTCTGATCCAGAATTTGAATGCCACAGAGGATGAGATCATGGGAAGACATAAAATAACATTTGATTACAAGGGTAAGCAACAAAGAGACATCTTATCACTAGCATTGGTATTTTTTCCACTAAGCACTTCTGCTATGACCTCGGTCTACAGGGTGGACGTGGGTAGCACCCCACCCACTACAGTGTACCTGGGTGGCTGAAACTCCTGATCATCCCAGCCAGCATGTCCTGAGCACTATCCTGTTACATCCTAGAATGTCTGATGCTACTTGAGCTGGGCCACCAAAGTGCCACCTCCATGGTACAGAGGGTTCTAGAACATTTATTTTCCTTTTCTCTTTTTTGTTGTCAGAATGGAGAAAGTAAAAGGAGAGATGAAGGATTATGCCATGTGATGGTGGAAGAAAGGGAAGCAGGGCTGTGCCCAGTTCAAACCCTGTACCTCTCTGTCCTGTTTGCCTGCAGGAGGTTCCTATGCTTTCCAATTTGAGAAACAGCATTCTAGAACTTGGTCTTGGTCCATAGAATCTAACCTTCTTCCAGATCTGAGCTGGGAGCAAGCAATCCTGAGGAGAAAATGAGTATAAATGTCTCACCCAGAGACCTTCATATGAAGCTTGAGAAAGAGGAGGGAGAGATGGGTTTGGAAGAAGGGGAGGGCTACCATCCCCTAGACCAGTGATGGTGAACCTTTTAGAGACAGGTGTCCAAACTGCAATCCAAAACTCATTTATCACAAAGTACCAGCACTGCATTTATGCCTAAATACTGAGGTTTTAGTTTAGAAAAAAACAACTGATACACTAACATCTTTTGTCTTAAAAGAAAAACAAGTAACGTGTGCCATAGGTTCGCCACTACTGCCCTAGACCATAAACAGTCTCTGTGCAGATTAGGAAAAGGCAATTTGGGCTAATTGGAAATTTGGGTTAAATGATCCCAGCATTGCTTATAGTAGAAGAAAAACTGCTCCTCCCTCTGGGCTAAGGTCAGCCCTCATTGGACACACTTGGCCAGGTGGTCCCATACAGAGAAAGTGCACAATCCTATATATGGTCAGAAAATGAAAGATCTAGCCTTTTCTCTTCATGCTTCTATACATCTCCCTGTCCCTTTCCCTCTTCCCAGGACCTTGGATTTCCAGTTGTGAGCCTTAGTTGTCAGGCTCTGGGCAAGGGCATCTCTGTTTCTCTGGGCCTGTTCTTGTGGTCCCTGCAGGGCAGTGCTGGAAGCTCCAGGAGGAACAGGGAGGCTAGGAACTCTTAAGGGATGGCCAGGAAGATTCTACTTCTGAAGAGACCTTAGTAATCTCCAGTGGCCCTGGAGCATCTTCCCCTAGGGACCACTGTTGTCTCTGTGCAGCCAGATGGAGTCTCTCAAAGCCAGTGATGGAGGAAGAGATGTGGAAACACTGCTATGTATGCTACTACTCTTCCCAGGCCTGCTTCTTCCCTCACGTGATCTCAGGGACATACAATTTGCTTTCTGGATAATATGTGGAAGAGTGGTGAAATGAATTTCAGGCGACTGAATTAAGGAGCAGCAGCATTACGAACTATGTCTCTACCAAAGAAATGCATTGGTGGAGATAGGTCAACAGAACTTTGCCTTGTTTCTCCTGTACCCTCCACACAGGTGACAGACTCCACCCACCCTTCCATGAAGAGACCTGGAAGGAAATAGGAACAAGGAACTGGTTGGCCAGGAGAGCTCTTCCTTAAGCTGCCTTCATATTTTAGGGATGTTTAATGTCCCTCAGGCTCCCCAGTGTGACATTTCACCTTTGGGATTGGTGTCTCATCCTTCATACAATGGGCACCTGAAGGAGACATCCAGGGGTTGCTGAAGTTTCTCAGCAACCAAGAGAGCCCCACCCCTGCCCTGGTAGCCCCTCACCTTACTTCTTTCTTCACACTTTCTTGCAGAAGCAGGTGCTCAGGGAAAGCAAGTCAGGAAACCTATTGCTGTCCTGAGGTGCAGTGACAGTGGGCAACTGCTCCCCAACAGTACTGTGGCAGATGGTAAGCATGCAAGGGTTGGCTTCTAATACTCCCAGCCCTGTGTTCACATCAAGACCTTGGGCTCATGTCCAGTCCCTAGAAGGAGACAGGGGTATGCTTCATGGGGTGGGAAAGGGCCAGTAAGGGCCAGCACTGACACCTCAGACTTGGTGCTTGCTGTATTTTAAGTAAGCTTTTGTTTTGAGCTCCCTACACCCTCATTCTAAAATGTCCTTTCCCCTCCTTCCAAAAGAATACACTACTCAGAAAAATGTATTGATTTCCACCTACCCACAAAAGGAGCTTTCCCTTGGCAATGTGGCCCTCGAAGTGTGCTTCCTCTTATTAAGCAGTGCAGAGAACTCCTGGCTGCATAACCCCTCCTTGGCATTAGCACCAGACATGAAAACAGGGTTCTAGGAACTCCCATATCTGCTTTGCCCCCATGGCGGGAATTGAAGAACTTTCTCAATTCCTGCTCACTCCTTACTGCTTTTGGAGTCCTTCAGGACTGACACAGCTTGGTTTTGAATATGATGCCACAAAAGAGGAATGAAGGACCAAAGTTGAGCCTGCAGAATGTCCACCACCACCATCCTTTCCCTTCTGGAAACCCCGTGCCAGGCAATCCAAAGAGCCCTATGGAGTTAATCTCCCCAGTCAAAGCCATGGTGAATATATGTTATACAAAATTACAGCCCAAGCAGTTTTCAAAAACCATCACTGGTCATTGAGACAATTTTTAAAGACAAATGATACATCCATGTAAAGAGTTTGAATAGTTTAATAATCCACATAAAGAGTTCAGCTATTGTTATTTTTATTAGACAGTGTTTCCGGAGTGCCACTTGAGACCTTGGCATTGAGCACTATTTGGAGGGGCCTGAAGACTTTCCTCTGGTTTGATCCCAGAATCTGAGGTTGAGGGAATTCTCAGAATCCTTCAGCTCTATAGAGAGAGGACACAGAGCAAATCTTCCCTTACTGGGATCTCAGGGTGAGTGGGAGTTTGGACTCTGTGTCATGAAAAGCTTAAAGCAGACCTTCCACAATGACCCAGGGGCATCTCCCAACCTTTCACTTTGTGTTTCCCTAAAATTGCATGTTTCTAGCAGTGTCCAAGTCTGAATAGTTGTCCAACCTATTACAGGATATTACAGGATAGTATTATAACAGCCATGGATTCATTCAACAATGTTTCTTGAAAAACTTTTGATGTTCCAGGAATAGAGAATGACCAGGCATGTCAGGCACCATCCTGGGTCTCTCCTTTCACACAGCTTGTGTTTCAGTAGGGAGAATCAGATACTTCATAAGTAACAAAATGAGTAAGATCATCTCAGGTGGTGATGGATGCTAACAAGAAACTAGACCCGAACAGTGGAGAAGAGGTCCTTCAGGGAGCAGTGTCTGAGCTGAGACCAGGGGCAAAGAGCCATCTTGTGGCTGCCTGGGTGGAGGCGTCCAGTCAGGGCTATGCCCTAGGGCAAACACAGGCTGGGTGAGGTCAAGGAGATCCGAGGCCAGTGTTCTTTCAGAAAGGGGTGGAAGGGGAAAAGGTGGTAGAGGATGAGGTCAAAAAGGTGGACAGGGCCTCCAACAGTCTTGGCCTTGAGCACTTTTATCCATACTTAGAAAGTGAATTCAGAGGTGAGGTATGGGGTTGCTGCAGTTCCATGGGCACTTTCAAAGGGAGCAGGTCTCTGCTCTTTGAATACCTAAGTGACCCCTCCCTAGACTGCTCAGAAGGGCAAGTTTCAGAACTCCCTAGGCTCCAGGAAGGTGAGCAAGTTTGTTTTTGAGACTCTTGCTGCATGAGATGCCACCACCAGGGACAAGACTGGGCGGGACTAAGCATTTCATTTCGAGGCAGGAGTCAGACCTTTTCAGCTGAGCCCCAAATTGGTACCTCTTTTAACTGTTGCCTTCCGGAACAAAAACCAACAACAATAATTAGAGAAGGAGAAACTGAGCCTATCTCAGTTTTGGGAGCACTGAAGTGTGGAGAGCACGGATTTGTTGGAGAACTACTCTGTGCTAGACATTTTACTCACATTGTGTCACCTGACCCGACAGTTACATGACCTAACAGTCAAATGATATAACAGTCATTATCACTCCTTCAACAGAGGCAAGAAACTTGAATCCACAAAGGCTATGTGATTTATATAAGCTCTCACAATTAGAACATGGAAGGAGTAGGATTTGAACTTCAGGCTTAGTTGCCTTGGGAAGACCACATCCACATGAGCCCACTGTCAGTAACAGATCAGAACAATTCCATAACTTTCCCAATGGCAGGTTGATTAACTTTGAAGCCTTGGCTTTGCCATGGCTCAGCCATATTTCTCAGATTTCTCAGGGTCCACCTGAACAGACTTTTGATCACTTGGTAAATAGCAGGAATGCCAGTGACAAATCACTTGCACACTATAGGTGAATGATAAACTGTCAGATGTTTGTGAGAGGCTTGGAGAAATAAGCACACAGCCAGCTGGGCCACAGAACCCAAAGCTTCTGAATCCCAAACCTTTTCACAGCTTTCTCAGGTAATATGAATTTTAGTTTCCTGCCAGTCGAGCCAGGTTTCTTCCTTATGTCTCTTGTTGGATAGCAGACATAGCATTTAGCTTCGCAGGACTCATGGCTTCCTCTCATGGTGTCTGCTTTTCATCTTGGTTCCAGTGCTAGTTCCCATGGGTTTGCAGGCCCAGCTTAGCTCTGAAGTTGAGAGGGCCACAAAAGGGCCACTGTGGGAGCAGCTCCCACCCCCACCCTATGTGAGTATGGTGATGGGGAAGTGTTTCCATCAGTAGCTGAAGCCTGTCAAGGCTGTAGATTTAGGCTATGCATGGGCTCTCACAACTTCGGAGATTTATCTGCTTCCTAGGCTCTAGGCAGTTGGGCAAACATTCAGAACTTACCTCATTGATCACATCTTTCATGCACCTCAATCCGTTGTCATCATGGGTAACATGCCATTTTATCTGATTTGGCTCCTGGATGCAGGATGTAAGCAATCCTCTGCCCCCACTCTGCCTTCTTCAGGTATCATTGCTCCTGACAAAATATCTTAGGGCCCTGGCAACACGTGGGACACCATGTAGATGATGCCTCTCTGAGGACCAGCTAAGGCCTGACTCTCACTCTTTCTTTCAGCTCTCCTTAAGGGGATCTCATTGAATCTCTGAAGGCCCAGCCACCTTTTGCCATAGCAGTAGGAAATATTAGGCAGGATCCAGGCCTGAAGGCTGCATGCAGACCCTCATTTGCACCTCAATAACATTCTTTTTTTTTTCCACATCACTATTATGTAGTTGTTTGTTAGATGTGTCAGTGGAGAGACTCCTCAGTACAATTAAATGGGACTCTTGAGCCACAGAAAAATCAATGTATATTGACTTACATATTTAAGCAACCGCTGTTCAGTATCAACTAAAAATTGGCATTCCAGTTGTCTCTGCTGGCAGGCTCTTTTGACATCTCATCAGGCCCCTGTTAATATGTTCTTCAAATCTCAGCTTGCTTCAACTTGTCTCCTAACTTATTCTCCTGACAATTAGACTAATGGTTTCCAGGCTGACCTGCACACAACTCCTAGGCAAGTAGCCCAGACCTTTCTCTGGAGATAACCTCTCCTTAGAAGCCACAGTCAGAAGGTGACCCCTTACTGGGTTTATGACAGGTCTCATCAGCTTGGGAGACTTCTTAAATCCACTCTTAATTGTTCCTCTGGAGAATTTTAGTGGTGAAGATCTCTCTCCTGATGGAGTTTAGGATTTAGTGGTCTGCCTGCTGGGGGGAGGGTTATTGATTTCCTCCAAATTTGACTTACTCTTCCAAACAGGAAGAAACTTCTCACCAGTTGCAGTCTCCCTAATGGGTAATTCTTGGATGGGTTTGTGGTCCTTCAATTGCTAGAGTCCTTGTCCCTTACTTTCCCATCTGGCATAGCTGATTTCAAACTTGGGCTTTCTAGAAGTTAGGCTGTTAACCCAGCAGGATTCTATAGAAGGAGGATACTGGGAGATGTAAATGGATTCTTTACAAATAAGATTACTAACACAGAACATACAATTTTCAGTAGTTAGGACTAGCCTCCAAAGTCATTTATTGTCATGCTGGATATCACAGGCAGGGATGTCACATTAGAACTGATTGGCAGAGGTGACAGTGGGTGTGAGGCAGCAGATTATTGTGGAACAACTTGTGAATGGTATAGATGGTGGAATTTTACCATCTTGGTGCTTCAGGAGGTCCAGATTCCTGACTGGTTTGTTAAGCAACTTTAAAGGGCACTCTCCAGATTTGGGAACTGCCATCATGATTGAAAGAGCACTAGATTGAAATCAGGGTTCCTAGGGCTAGGTCCAAATCCAAAGTAAATCCTCCTAATTTGTCTTTCTAATCCAGATGTGATGGAAAGCCTGCTTGTTGGAAGTTAATGACATAGAAGTTATCACCAGAAATCATAGTGTTTGAGATGCTCAGACACACCACCTGCTCAATTACTTGGGGACCCAATTGCTAGAGTTCATTCAGACGTAAATACGTGGGTCTTAGGAAAAAGCTATAAGCAGTCATTTAGGGGGATTAGAAAACAGACCTGCTGTCCTCAGGGAGATTTAGAAGAGCAAAACAGACAGATTTGCTCCAAAACATCAGGATTCCAGCCTTTCACAGAGTGGCCAGGATTAACAGCGAGCACACATAATGCTAAATCTGTGCTAAGGACTCAGAGGAGGTGCAGGTGATGGTAGAAATGAATATAGGCAAGAGTCTACTCTGATCACTGGAGAATGCAATGGCTTCTGGAAGCTGGAGACCTGTTTTCTTCATGGCATGGCCTGATTTTTCCACTGATGGAAATAGGAGGGTAAATAGAGGCAGTTCAGGAATGGGAACCCTTCTCTACATCCTGGAAATGCCATTACATCCTTATACACTAACATGGAATTGTCCTCTTACTGGTAGAGCTGCCCTTCAAATATTTCATTTCTGGATTCTATGGATCTTTTTTATGTTTACACTTCTGATATGGCTGCCCTATCCTTCCTCCAGAGCAGGTAGATGCCTTGAAAAGCTAAGTGGAAGCAAGAGGGAGGGCAGAAAGTGGAGTCTACATAGAGTAAAGGCCAGGCCAAGGTAGAGGTCCAGGAGACTGGCCAACAACAGGCCCTGTACCACCAACTAGCAGGGTGAGGTGAAGCCTCTGATGGGGTGAAGGTATGGTGGGCAATGTCTTGGGGACAATAGAAAACACCCAGCAGAGTCTGACTTCAGGCTCAGCTCAAACCATCTGCCCCAGTCATGGAGAATCAGGGTTGAGGCATAGATGTGGTCTTTCATAGCTTCTCATAGAAGAAACAAATGAAGGAATAAAAAACCAGATGATTTTATTCACAAAAGGTAGAATTCCTTCTTGTAAACCCATATCACATCCTGTATGATTCATAGGGGCCTGTAATAAGCAGGCAATTGTCCAAATTACACCTGTATTCCCCAAGGCAGCAGTGTTCCCCCAAAGTCCACACTACTCTCATTATACTTTAGCACCCCTCATTCTCCCAAATTCATAACTGACAATGTGGCTCATAGAATGGATGTTTTCTAGATGGGAAGATGTCTTCTACAACCTGTTCTTAATATATTTTGAGATGGGTTTTGTGCTGTTTTTAATACTGGGCTGTGTGGTTTGTCTTATTTATATGAGAGAAGGAATATATATTTTTATTTTATGAAAATCAGATAGTGCAGATAGACCAAAAAAAAGAAGAAAAGAAAAGAAAATCACCTATAATTCTACCACCTAAAGAGACTACTATTAAAACTTGGGTGCATATCTTCCCATCTTGTATAAGGGTGTCTCTGTATTTGTGCATTACTATACTTTTTCTTACAAAAAAATGGGAATGTTACACATATACTCTTGTAGTTTGGCAGGTCATGAATTTCTTTCTTTTGAACATTTAAGCACATTTTAAAACAAAAGAGAGTTTTAAAAGGACATAGTGCGCTTGCCATTGTGTCTTGTTTCCTATATGATCTTGCTATTACATACCCACACCCACATTTTTAAGATATCAAATAGAAATCCCATTATCATTTACATCTGCACATCTGCAGATCATCTGTGATGACCTCGATATTATGCAAGTCCTAAAGTTTCCTCTGAAACCTTCAAGGAAGAGTATTCAGTCTAGCTTTAGTGTTTAGATTATCCCAGGTGTCTAGATGTTAATAATCCATAAGAGATGAACCTTGTAATTCCCACTCAGAAAATGTAAGCAACTAGAATTCTACCTTTCTCAATTGTGCACAATAATGAGCATTAAGTAGAGCAAAATAATAGTACTAATAGGCAGTCCTTGGGGGTTGTTAGCAGCGATCTTGTGGGTGTGAAATGCAGGTATGATGGATAAAAATTCATCTCAAGTATACAAGGAGATTAATTCACCATCTGGATTACAGAATTGGACTGAGGTGAAGTGTCAAACACGTATGTGTGGAAATTTGGAGAGAATTTTGTGATTCTGTTTTGACAAAGTCTCATTTGATTATCAGGTGGTACTGACTCTAATAGATGAAATTATGCCTGGCTTATCTATTTTCTCAGCACAATCTAGCTGGTGTCTTTCTAGGGCTTATCAAGAAATTTTTCTTCAGGGAGAAAAAAGAAAATGAGGCAAATGAACTTAAGGGAAAGGGTAGTAGAAATGGAGATGAGAATTCCAATACAAGCAAGAAAATGAAACATGGACAGGTTAGAAGAGAATAAAAATATGTTTTATAGGCAGGAGAGATGAATCTATGGTAAGAAGCCAAGTTTAAAAATTTTCGAGATGATAAATCAGAAAGAAAAAACATCATGAAAAAGTACTGAATGAAAGGGAGACTAAAAGTTCTATGAAATGTTATTTGCAGGCATTGAGTATACTTCACAATTTCTTTGTGAGAGATTAAGCGAGCAAATGGATTACCCATCTAGTTACCAATAACTCTGTGATCTCTGGAAGCCAGAGTATGTCATGAACAGAGCCTGATTGCTGAGAGGTAAAAGGGAATGACTTCCTTTGCTGAATGTATGCTCATTTTAGCAAGCTCAACTTTTTCTAGCTTCATTTTTTTTCACTTTTATTCATGTAATCGTTACTTTTGGTACAATTACAAGGGCATGAAACAAATTCTGTGATCACAATACAATTTTGTGGAGATTGTTCTCTCACAGATTCTTACATTTTAGAGTTCAGTGGCAGACAGATGTGTAGTATCCTTTTACATCTGGAGAAACTGAGCCATAGGGGGATGTTAGAAGGGGAGAGTTTAGTTGTCCTTTTTAGTGCTGAAGGGTGCAGATGAGTCCAGAAGCAGGAGGCTGAATTTTCAATAAAAAAGTAACACCCCTCTCTGGGATCTACTCCCAGACGTGGATTACACTTATAATCCCAGCACTCTGGGAGGCTGAGGCAGAAGATCAAGTTCCAGCCCAGCCTAGGCAATTTAGTGATTCAGAGAGATCTTGTCTCAAAATATAAAAATAGGGATGGGGTTGTAGCTCAGTGTGAAAGCCCTGAGTTCAAGCTCTAAAAATAACAAAAACAAAACACAGATACACATGCGTGCACACACACACACACACACACCCCCTCCATCTTTCCTTTTTGCTGTGATATCAAAACAAAACTGAACCCAAACCTTTCAAGCACACTGCCCTTAGCATTTAACCTGTATGTTTCAACTTTTGAAACATACAATACCTTTAAAAATTACAATAATGCTTCCATCATAAAGAAATTTAATATTGCAATAAACTCCATAATTCAGAATAAAGGGTGTTAGAGGTAATACACTTAGTAGAGAATTAGCAAAAAAAATAAATAAATAAAAACTAAAAGCCCTCATATCTGGATATGTAACAACTTTTTTGTGTGTGGGGGTATACTACAGCTAGCTAGTGAATCTATAACTAATGACATCTACACTTAGCCAACTCCAGTTTGGCCACACCCTATAAAAATGCCACACTTGAGATTTACAAACTTTGATTCCTTGTCAACTCAGCCTTAATTTATGCATGAACTAACCATTCCTCATGATGCATCTGGCAGAGTTGACCCAAGGCCATTGCCCAGGTGTCCCAGGAACCCCTTTTCCCCTTCTCTGCTCCAGGCCTCTCTCCTACTGTTCACCTCTTCTGGGCCTGAGACTGAGGTGAGAGAGGAGACAGGTCTAGCAGCCCCAATTTTCCCATGCATGCCATCATTTACATTCATTAATGACCACTACATTAGCAAATGGAACTTGTCTCAGTCTAATTGTTTGTCCTGAAAACTACCCATTACTCTTAGGATCTTAAAGCAAAACGGATTATTGATCCAGGATTAGGAAGAAGCCTGAGATGCTAACAGGCCTTAATGGTGCAAAAAGCTCATGCATTATTTAATTAATTAAGGAAGGGAAAACTGAAGTTGGAAGCCCCTCTTGCTTACTTATTTTCTGGAACACTAACACAGAGCCCCTCTGAATGTGAGTGTCTCTGGAACAATGATTACTGCAAAAAGGAAATGGGATGATAGATGACTGTAAAATCTCAGATGCTGATCTTTCCAAATGAAACCACAGGTCAAGCGGGGGAGGTAGAGACAGAGTCCCCCAGCCAGTCTCTTGTCTCCATCCCTCTCCGACCCCACTCCCCCTCACCTGTCTTGGCAGCTCACAGTCTCAGAGTTCTTTGCCTGAACCTCCTCCCTGAGATCCCTTCCATACTTAGAAAGACTAATTGGCATCTTGGAGTTTGTATTTTGTGCAGGGCATCGTGTTAATCATTTGATATAAATCATCTAATTATTAGTTCCCCAGTTTACACATGAGGAAAAATGAGGCCCAGAGAGGATGAGTATCGTATTCACAGTCACAAGGCAAGCAGTGCTTATCACCAGAACATAGCTAGGTCTAAACCTTAGCCTGTGTGGTGTTGCTGCTCAGAACTCATAGACAGTCACAAGCCAGCAACAATGGAGACTTGATGCTACTATATGTTTTATAGAAGTAAGGGTTTGAGGTGTAGCAACAAGACGGCACAGTGTAGCACAAAAGAAATTACATAGAGAGTGTAGGTATGAAGACATCGTCCTGCCCAGGGTCGTGCTGAGGTAGGAAAGGCAGCCCAGAGGATGCAAGCTGTGTTTCCCTCACTAGCAGATGGCTCAGGTGGAACCCGAGTGCAGGCCTGCAGAGGCTCAGTTCCCTTCTCACCCCTCTGTTTCCTTCCAGTTTCTCAGGAAGCCACACCCACCGAGGGTACAAAAGGGCTCGGCCCCATGGAGACAGCAGATCAAGAACCGTCTTCAGATGAGATCAAGACACTTCCTTTTCCCAATGACTCTGTGCCATCTGCTTTCTGTGTTTTGTTGTAATAGGGGGAAATGACCCCCTGTTATTCATTTTCTCATTTAGTTCTACGGTGGCAAAGAAGTAACTTCATTTCTCAGCTCAAAACTTCTTAAACTGTGTCTCTTCCTCATCATCCCTTTGAGAATAAAAGTCTAGAAATGAAACAGAATCCTGACAAGTTGGGGAAATGTGTTTTGACTTTCTTAGTTCAAAGCCAGCCCTAAACCTTGAGCCTGGGCCTTTTGTTCTCAGACATTGTGACTTCAGCTGTGAGCTGTTTCGTTTGTTTTGTACAGGAATGGATAACTTCATGCTCTCATGGCCACAGCTTCCTGAGCCTCAGCCTGGAACAGGTGACTCAGGGCCAACTTCAGAAGATACCTTGACCTTGGGGCTCATGTTTGCAGTGCTTTATTTTAAATGTTGGGAGGGAGAGAAGGAGGAAGAGGAGTAATTAGAGGAAAGAGACCTGGACCCTGTGGTTTATAAATCAGCCCCTAAGACAGCTGAGACGTGAAAGGCACTCAGCCAGGGGTTATGAAAGAAAATCATTTTCATTCCCAGCTCTAGGAATTATGTGAAGCAACAGAACAAAGGCTGCATTCCCCAGAGATTTTTTTGAAAGTAAAATGGAGATTTAAATGTGAAAATCACTGGAAGGGAAGAGCTAGAAAAGATATGGAGACAAGACAGAGTACAGCCAGACACCCAGGTCCCTTGGCCAGTGGCTCCTCTGACGCTTCTGGCCATAGGTGTAGAAACTTTGTCTTCTGCAAAGGGGAGTGTGGGGAATGATCTCAGCACCTCCTGTAAGCCGGTGGACCAGGGGCAAGAGTGGGGAATGGATGCAGAAATTGTCTATGGGTTACTCATCTACATTTGTGATGGTGAGAAAACAGTCTTTGGGCCTGGATAATTAAAGACAATCTTAGGGGTACACACGAACCAAGTGTGTAGCTCAGCGATAGAGTGCTTGCCTGGAATACATGAGGCACTGGGTTCCACCCCCAGCAACTAACTAACTAACTAATTATAAAAATCCCAGGACAGTAGGGTAAGAGAAGGTGACAAGAATTGAAATCTTTGCTCAGGCCTTTCTAGACAGCAACCGTATCTTGGTCTAGAAATGCTCAGACATGGCTCATGGTCTGGCAGGGCCGAGCAAACTTAGGTTAGGCAGAAAGCAAAGGACAGTGTGAGGAGTTGTGAGTGATGTCCTGGCTTGGCCACTTCATGTCTTGTATTTCAACTTCACCAGCTATAAATTGGAGCTAGTGACAGCTGCCTTGCTTATATCACAGGTGTTTCGGGAGGGCTCAGTGAAATATACAAGCACAACTATGACACCAATATTCTAGCAGTTGCTAGTAATATTTATTGAGCATGAACTCTATGCCAGGCACTGACCCTGCATACACATATGTAATATGTTACTTCAGCTCCTTAGCAACCCTATAAGACATGTTATATTTTGCCAACTTGATTGATGAGGAAGTGAGAACTCTGGAAAACTTAGTACCCTGAGATTACACTACTGGTCAATAGCCAAAGCAGGGCACCTGAGGCTCACAGTTGCCATCCTGTTATATCTTGTATCTAGATGTCCATGAAAAGTCTCATGCAGTCATAGGTGGGGCTTTTCGGAGGTGGCTGGATTTTGGTATGTGATGCTAGGATCAAGGTTGTGATGCTAGGATTAAGGGTGTGAGTGTTACCCACCCTAAGGGAAGGTAGCCTGGATAAGGTAAGAGGGACAAAAGAGGGTCATCACTTGTGGCTTGCTGCTTGGATGCTTTTGTTGCTTTCTCCCTGCCATGAATTGTTTCTCTTCTGGGATGCTCGTCTGCCCACCCTGCCTTGGAGCAGACCCATTGTGGATTGAAACTGATGTTGGATATTTTGTCTCAGCAAGGAGGAAAAGTAACTAAGATACATCTCATAAAGAGAAGAAGGACAGCCTGAAGGTATGGATCCAGGAGCCAGATAGAACCGTGTTTGAATCCTGGCTTTATCACTCATCAGTTGTGTGACTTTGGCCAAGTTACTTAACTTCTCCTTCCCTTGGTATCCCTTTTGCAATATGTGGACAATCAGAAGATTTGCCTTATATGGTTGTCATGAGGGTTATATTAAATATACAGAAAGTACTTAGAGGAGTTACTGACAGTAAGCCCTCTTTAAATGCCAGGATCTTTTACTTTTTAAAATGCTCCCATCAAGTGATGAATCTCTCTGCTTATGGAGGGTAAGGAAAGGAACTTAAATGTCTTGTTACTTTCCTTATATGCTTTCCTTCAACATCCCTGACTCAGCTGTGAGTGAGAACCTCACCTAGAATGAGAGCTCTGTTAGGTGGTGGCATTACCTACGGGAATAAGAGGAAAACAGTTATTTGTTGGGGGAGGTGCCTCTTTATTTTATTTGTGAAAGGAGAAAAGCAGGACCCTGTGATCTGAGCTCCCAGCTGGCAGCTTGCTTTGCTTCTGTGGCCACTGTAGCACATGTCAGTTTAATGTTCAGTTGTATCTGAGACTGCCAGGATTGGTGAAACAAGTACCTTGATCTTGGCTGAAAAAGGAGAGAATTTTTCTCAATGTTTATTATGACTTTAAAAATTGTTTCCAGTTGTAAATGAATGACTACACATCCATACATTTGGTGTCACCCTGGAGCATACTATTTATTCTTTTGAGTAAACACTGCTGGAGACAAACTTCAGGTGCCCAGGAAAACTAGCCAAGCTGATGAAGTGCTCCTTGGGCCCCAGAACTCCCAAGTGTGCCTTCATTCTGTCTTGCATCCATTTATCTGGATCTGAGGAGGATCTCAGGAGCCCTCTATGCTAAGGTAAGGTGTGTGGACAATCACTCAGAGCATAGAGACTCGTGGGATGTCTGCACCCTCGTGCACATCTGCAAATGCTATGCTCTAACACCAGCATCTGGTTGTCTGGTGGTCTGACTGATGTCCACCAGCCAACATTTTGCTTTCGCCCAAGAGAACAAACTTATTTATGAGCAGTAAGTGCTTTGCTCTGCTGGGTGGGCAGCATGGCTCCATGCTGAGCCCCTCTCAGCTGCAGAAAGTTGGAGGAAAGGAACCCTCCCACTCCTACAAGCTGATAGGCTCATTGTACTCCAGATCCCTGCCTTGCTCCAGCCCCCTGTAGCTCTCTCCACCTCAGGGCACCTGTCTGGGACACGGCATGTACAGATCGAAGCAGATGGCTGCTCCACAGGCCAAGGACCAACAAACATACTGGGCCCCAGTCATGGAGGGAGTCAGATACTTGCACTAGTTATAACTTGAAAACATTATCCACCATCCCTCTTCAGAGGGGCACAGAGCCAGCCCCCCCCCCACCTCTCATACCAACCCTTCAGTGCAACATTGGATCTTGAAGGTCAAGGTCATGGATGTGGATTGAGGTCATAACAATGCATTGGGGGGCCCCTTTCTGCCCGCTTTTATCCTCTGAATAGCTTTCACCTTTGTGGTCATCTGAAGCCAGTTCTTCAATGCTTGGGGCCTGGTGTCTCACTGTTGCTCTGGGCAAAGACTTGCTCATTCTTCTTTACAACCACTCAGTGGTCCCCCGCACCTTCTCTCTTTTCCAACTTTCCTTCAGCTCAAGTTGTGTGTGAGAGAAAGAAGGCGAATTGGTGGCTGAAGAATGAGATCATTTCTCTCCCCTCTTAGCAGCTTTCTGTCTGCTAGCCAGGGTGAGGGAAAGCAAGCAGGAAAGCTCGCTCTCTGAGGAGAGCCATCTGGCTCCAACAGACTCACACAGTTGCTAATCTGTATGTCTCTTTTTCTTTATTCTTTTTTTCTTGTTTATTCTGAGGAACACTTCATCTGCAGCTGTAAATTCAGACCTGGTGCATGTGAAGGCGAGTGTTCATTTGGCGTGCGTGTTTATTCTTGCATTATGCCCCCGCCCCTGTTCCTCTTGTAGGTGTCAGCAAGCCATTGTTATCCTTGGTGGGTCTATGTGGATTTAATGTCAGGGCTGTACTTTCAAATGGAAATCAGGCAATTATGCTTTACTTGGAGAAATCTGGCAGATGCAGAGGTTTTACACCACTGGCCATGTCTAGGGGACAAAGGCGACTGGTGCTTCTAAGGGACTGTTAAATAAATAGAATATGTTTTAAGAGCACAGAAAATTTCAGAAATAATGAACTGTGTGATGAGAGTTCATAGATCTTGTGGCTGTTTAACTTCAAAATGTGATAATGATATGTCAACCAACTGCTTAGCACATCCTTGGAAAGGCGTCATTAGCAAACTGATTACAATGTGCATCGAACCAGAGGCAGGGACTGCTCTGTGCATCTGCTTTCTGTGTTCTAAATGGGAAGCTCTGGAGGATTTTAATTTGTTTCCTCCTCTCAGGGAGCTCCATTTGGCATCGGTAGAGGAGGGGTGGTAGCAGCTTGATGTTCTCCTGATGGACCAGCTTCATGTCTACATTCAGTGGTGTCTAATATCAGTGGTCTCTGTGGATGTGAGTGATGCCTAATACCAATGGTGTCCACCCAGGGATTTACGGTGAAAGATACAGTGACAATATCATTGTGGCTACCTTTTTTCTTTGTAGTGTGGAGGTTGGAACCCAGGGCTTTGAGTATGCTAGCCAAGTGCTCTATCACTGAACTGCATCCCCCAGCCCCTCATTGTGGCTGCTATCAATTGGTAGTCCTTACCACCCAAGTGCCAATCACCCAGCCAAGTGCTCTCCACACTGGCCTCCTGCAGGTGTGGGGAAGGCACTCTTCTTATGCATATTTCACAGAGAGGAATGGAGGCACTGGGCTAAGTGGAAGAATTCGCTTTTAGACTCAGCCTTGCCCAACTCTGATTTAACTCCAAGCCTCTGGCTTGAGCCCTCTCTAATGTTTCAACAGATAGAAGAAAGAAAGATGCACTCACTCATGGACCCTTTATGAAGCACTTTCATGACAGACATGTATTGTTGTATGATACATGCAACAGTGACTGGACAGGAGATACCTAAATAAAAGTTAAACTTATTTTTCCCCCTAAAATACCTAGCTATTTAAACAACTGATTAATTTAGAACCTG